CAACTAACCAACAGGAAAGGGGGGGGGGGGGGGGGGGGGGGGGGGGGGGGGGGGGGGGGCAAGGACACATATGTAATACCTTAATAAAGAAAAAAGAATCATTAAGCATCATTGGATTGCCATTTGGAACCAACAGATGATCCTATACATCGGTGATCCTCCGTCAAAGTCCTGTTCTCTGCAAGGATGTTGGCAATAATGCCCAGCAATGAAGGGTTAAAGCTGGGGGCCCAGACCAGGAAAGGGATGTCACCAATCTGATGGCATTAGGTCCAAAGCTAGATCTCCCCACTGTGGTCTTTTATTCTAGGTGATCCTAGAGGTGTCCACGGTTCCCTGATTGAGATCTAACCTAGGGGTCCTCAAGGGTGAGACAGGTCTGCTATAGTATCAAAAGGCATGGAGTAGCTACAAGGAGCCAGCGGATTTAACTTGACTTTGGCCGGAACTGAAAGTCCCCAATGTCTCAGAACCCTCGGACAGATACCTAAATCACAAAGTCAAAAGTCACTGAGCCTTTTGTAGGGTGTTAAATTGAAAAATGTTTCCTTTGGGAGCTCAGGAAACGGTTGTCTCTTCTATAATTTTCCAGTTTTCTATGCCTCACGTACAATGCCAACAATCCTACATAAAAGTAATAGCATTTCATATAGCTTACTTCAGACATTTACTCACCCAAAAAAATATATAAACATGGCGAGAAAAGCTGCACCAAGGAATTCCTTATAAAATACGATGCCTATAACAGGAATAGAAGACAACATTTTAGGATAAGAATATTTACAATAGCTACACATTGTTTTTCAAATTATGTCAATAGAGGAGGCCCCCTTTAGCCTCGGTTTCGCTTTTGTGGTTTCTGTTACCCAGGGTCAAGAATATTAAGTGAAAAATTCCAGAAGTAAACAATTCCTAAGTTTTAAGTTGCAGGCTGTCCTGAGTTGCATGACGAAATCCCACCCCCCCGGGACATGAGGCCTCCCTCTGTCCAGCATCTCCATGCCGTATGTACTGAGTCAGCAGCCGTCTTGGTTGTCAGGTTGACTATGTGGCAGTGTAGAGCCTGGGTTCAAGTCACCCTTAATAATGGCCCCAAAGCACAAGAGTAAGTGATGCTGGCAATTTGAACATGCCAAAGAGAACCCAGAAAACGTATTAATTACTTTTAAAAATTACCCACTGGCAGTCACATTGCTTGCCATGAAGTAAAAAAGATGAGCCAATTAGGAAACAGATAATCCCCTACCTACCTCCAAAATACAGACATTTTGCAATAGGAAATGAAATCTCAATAAGACACAGTGGTGAATTTATCCAATAAGCCAAAGAACAAGGGGAAATCAGTACCAAACGTAGGAGTGATATACCTGGATCTACTATATTTGGGTCAGAACCAAGTTTAAATGTCATATTTTTTAAAAAACACTATTGTGTCTGACACATTAAAAAACTGTCCACCAAACGTAGGAGTGATATACCTGGATCTACTGTATTTGGGTCAGAACCAAGTTTAAATGTCATATTTTAAAAAAAAAACACTATTGTGTCTGACACATTAAAAAACTGTCCTTAAGAATAAAAGAATTCAATAGTAGAAAAATAGAGGCCAGAACAGCAAAAGCAGTAGTTTCTGTTCTCATCTGTCTGGCCTTCCTGGAACACTGGGTTCTGTTTTGGGCCCCACTCTGATCCAGGTGGTGAAGGCCAGAGACGGACGAGTGAGTGGACCTGGGGTGTTTGGCCCAAAGACAAGACACAAGAGGACCCTCCCACTGCTCTGCTCACCAGCAGGGCTGGCAAGGAGAAGACTCCAGAAAGCGGAATTAAGGTGAGTGTCTTGAATTCACAGGGAGGCTAGTTTCTGTCCAATATAAGGAAACACTTTCTAATAATTAGAGCTCTCGAAATAGAGTAGTTTAAAACGGGACTGAGCTGTCTCGGGAGGCGGACGGCCTGGGGAGCACTCGCACACAGTAGAAGAGCGTGTCCTAGAGGGGTTATGGAGGAAACTCAGATACTGTGTGAGGCTGGGAGGACATGGCTTATGCAGATCCTAATAACCGAAGGATTCCTTGCTTTTCTCATATGCGTGTTGTGGGGGTAGAACACCTAAGTACAGAAAGCCAAAACTCACCTGCAATAATGGCACTGGTTGTAAAGAAAATATGGTTAATGGGCACCACCGTCGCTGTACTGTAGAGATTCGTGGCTTGATTCAGGAACCTAGAGCAGAAGGCACTTCCTGAAGCTCTGGCCTTAAGAGATGCTCAGCAATAAGTTAACAATAACATCAAGAAATGCATGTTCTTCAGCTACAACTACAAAGGGAAAGGAAGTGCAGTAGAAGGGCATTTCCAATCAGCAGTCATAGCTTATATGCATCTGATGTATGAGATCAGATGTCAGGTTTTATGGTCTGTTTAAACCAACAACAGTAACAATGAAAAGCAATTAATCATATTCTGAGGCCACAGAAGTTTGAGTTGGAAGCCATTCAAGCTGCTGGACCGGTATCACACTGCGGCTGATTCATTATGATAGACCCCAGAATCTGTTAAATATCATATCGAGGGAATAGTAGAGCTATGCATTGACATGCCACGTGCCAAGAAAGAAGATGGAGAAGTAAAAGGAATGTTTAATGTTTCAAAAACAATGCTTGGGGCTCCAGCTGCAGAGCACATGTGGGAACTCAGCTTCTCACGTTGGCGACCAACCGAATTCAGGTTCCCGCACTGTGCTGTGCTGCCCCGTCAGGGACTAGACCAGTGATGGCGAACCTTCTGAGCTCGGCGTGTCAGCATTTTGAAAAACCCTAACTTAACTCTGGTGCCGTGTCACATAGAGAAATTTTTTGATATTTGCAACCATAGTAAAACAAAGACTTATATTTTTGATATTTATTTTATATATTTAAATGCCATTTAACAAAGAAAAATCAACCAAAAAAAATGAGTTCGCGTGTCACCTCTGACACGCGTGTCATAGGTTCACCATCACTGACCTAGGGCCTGCTTCCCCCTGTGATTATAAGCAATGGGGAGGGCAGGAATACAATTTTCAAGCGCCATGTCTACTCAATAGATCATGCATGGAGAAAAATACGACCGGGATCTTAAATAGCTCCCTCCTTCCCAGGAGCTGCTGCCACATCCGCTCATATGGGTTCTGCAGAAGCAACACAGGGGTGGCTGAAAGCAACCAAGCTTCTGGCATTTCAGGCCAATGAAATCCCTGTCCTTTCACTCTCAAATAAATAAAGCTTTGAACATTATCATTACTATGGTTCTTTAAATGAGTCCCCACTGCCTCATGCTCCCCACTTGCAGGGATTCCATTTGTCTTCGTGTCGGTGCCAGGTCTGGGAAGCTGACATCTCCCCAGCAGGGTGAAGATGCAACACCCTTCTCCGCTGGGCTGACCCTCCCTGGAGATGCCCAGTGGGGCTGAGTTACCACCTGGCGGGCTTTCCTCATTAGCCCTTCAGGCAGCACGTGCTCCAGTCTGTCAGACTCAGGCTCTGGGCAGAGAACTTCTAATGTTTGACTAGAAATTACTTAGGGGTGCTCTGAGTGTGACAACTAGTTCATTACTACCCAATGTGTTCTGTCTGAAACTGGCAGAAATGGGAACATTTCTCCACTCAGGTGGCTGGGTAGAAGGAAATAGCCAGGGGAGAAGATGATAATTCAATCCTTGATATCACTATAACTCAACCTCCCTCAGCTGACTAGCTACTAAAACAAGTACTGGAAAGAAGTTTGAAAAGGGGATCAGCCGAACAAATAATGTGAAGGCGATACAGAATAGCATTCTTGCAACAACATGTTTTTCAGTTGAGTTGGTACTAAGATATACAAAGAAGATCGAAAATGCCATTTAACAAAAATCAACCAAAAAAATGAGTTCGCGTGTAACCTCTGACACGCGTGTCATAGGTTTGCCATCACTGGACTAGAACCTTCTCTAGAGCAGTGCATTGCACTGACATCACCTGGGTGCTTTCAAAAAGCATGAATGCTTAGGTCCTATTCTTGAGCAACTGGAAAAAAAAATAATTTTTGTGGGCAGAGCCCAGGTGTGCCTGTGCCTGTATATACATGCGTGCATGTGTGTATACATATACGCACATATGTATGTGTAATTAAGCCTCCTCGGGTAATTTTAATGGGCAGCCAGGGCTGAAAGCCACAGTTCTACAGTTCTAGTGTGTTCACCCAGCTCCAGTGTGAAAGATGTAGAGACGGAAACAAGGGTGATAAGAACGCAGTTTACCTTTGACTGTATCTACCTTTTACATTCATAAAGCATAGTTCAAAGATAATGATGCTAATTGTTACATTCTAAAAGGTAGTAGAGCAGCCCTGATTAATTCAGAAGAAGAGAAGAGACAAAACAGCAAGACTCAAGTATTAGAAACACACTCAGTCTTATAAGGAAATGACTAATGAAACAGTGACAAAACATTGGTTTCTCCGGTAATTGTCCACACTCCTAGTTACAGGGCCTATAGCCAACCCATGACAATGAGACTGGACTTCTAGGACTAAGAAAGGAACCAATCTCTTCCTGAGTTTGGGCTCTGACTTCCTCGCTGGCACTGGGATGGTGGCTTTGCATAGCATTTAGGGGGTAAACAGAAAACTTTCTGGTTGACTCGAGCGCCTCACAGGCAAAGGCATCCTCCCCATGTGACATGGAGGGGAAGCCGTTGGAGCAGCGGGGTTGGGGGGAGGCGGGGAGAGCAGAAATTAAAAATGTTCCATGTCACCACTATTAGGCCCCAGGAGAAACATAAAACAATCATTCCACAGTCCCTTGGGTACGAAGCAAATTCTGGCCAAAGATACAAAGTTCTGAGGAAAGGATTTCCCTCCCGGCCAAACGTCTGGTTTTGTCCATCTCTGGGCAATTAATGAGCATGAGCTAAGAAGTGAAGGTGAAAGGTTCATGTATTTCCTATACTTAGAAAAAGAAATCTGGATGTGGACCTGCCCCTTTGATTTATTGCTAATGACAACCTGTGTACGATGGATATTAATTACAAGCAGAAGAGCATCAGGAAAGTATCAGAGTGCACTTAGCTGGATTATGGCTGCACTTTAGAGCTCACAAGATGTGAAGGCAATGCTCAGTAAAAACTCCTTATTGGATGTGAAGGCTATTGCAAGGCATGTTAGCTGAGGATAAGCTGTAGACCCTTCACCCTTCTAAGTCAGTTGCATCTAATTTTAATGATCATCTGAAGCCAAGAAAGACGGATGCTCAGAGAAGCACAGGAATGCTGAAAGATTGGTGAGGACAGGGAAGCTAACTTACTTGACTTGGAAAACACAAGATGCTATCATGATGATCAACATTATATAGAAGATGGGATACGTTAGCTGCATTTTATCCGTCACAGAAAAAGTGATCATGCCTGAGACAGCTTTCACTGAAATAACAGTCAATGAGGCTGAAAAACAAAACAAAGAACACAAATAAAATACATACCTGAGACAGAATGACAGATATCTTCAGTGTACATGGCACAGTGGTAAATGCCCCCCTAACGCCTTAAGCATGAAGATTCTAGCTAAGCAGTAGCCCTGGTGTTTAAGCTGGGCTGGACTTCAGATTGGCTTCTATCAGCTAAAGATCTGCTGTGTGACTGTGCTTTTTATCTTTGGAGCAAGATGGTTATTTTCCAGCCGTAACTGTTGAAAGGATGCTATAGACGAGAGGTTATAATTACTAAGAGATGGGAAAGGAGAAAACAATGAAGGGAGGAGATAAGAAAAGTGGGACTGCCCACGTGACGTTAATGGGAAAATATGAAGCTACACTGAAAAAAATGTAAAGCCAAATAGATGAAAAGACTGAAAACTGAAAAGCAACTCACTCTGTGAGTTTACTAAGAGTTGTACTTGGTCTATGCGTGAACCCTTTGTTAATAAATGCCTACAAGTTTCATTAAAATATTTTTTGAAGATGACACTAACAGGAAGCAGGACCTGAGTATTCATTTCTCAGAGTCAACCATAAGTCTAAGATTTACACAAGCATGTCTACACACTTTCTACGCTAAAGAGGAACCTGTCCCTTACGGGAACACGTCTTTCTTAGTTTCCAAATAGCAATGAAGAAAAAGTGACTTGACAAGGTTCTATCAACGTGAAAGCAACGACGCATTTTCTGGAAACATCATGTTTCTGTAGGAAGAAGACAGGGCTTCCCTTTTGCCCAGGTCCCTTGAAATTACGTTACCTATGATTCCATAAATTAGCTGAAACCTACAGAAAAATAAAAAAAAGTTTTACATGAAATCAAATATAAGTCAAAGGCAATGGGAAGGAGAAATACTGTTTTTGTTGCTGTTGATATCTGGTCATAATATATCTGAACTTTACTCCTTTTAGCTTTTGAAAAGAATGTGTGTGTGTGTGTGTGTGTGTATGTGTGTGTGTGTGTGTGTGTGTGTGTGTATGGTGTTTAAATAGCAGGTGAAGTGTTCCAACTAGGAAAAGCCTTCCAGAATCTCCTTTTCCAAAAACTGAAAGTATACTTTAACTTGAAGGGTACTAGGGCACACTTCCAAATTAGGGATTTTCTTTCTGTTATAAGTCACATTAACAGAGGAGACCCGGTAATAAATTCTAAAAGCAAACCCCCAATCCGAACAAAGAGGCCCTTACAACTGGGCACCTCTTCATTTTAAAATGTCTTTTGACCTGACCTTCTACATATTTTCTACGGAGTACGACAACACTCATATCTCAGCGAATCTAGGGAATGTCAAGTATCTCTCGAGATGTGTGTTACTTGATGGTTTAAGTTTGTAAAGTTTGCTCTTGAGGGACCTTGATTTCCTCCTAAACACGTTGCTTGTAATTAGAGCACAGTGTGATTATGGTCCTGTAGTCGGAACAGCTTGGATTCCCAAAGGGATCACTGATGGAGAAACAGCTGAACACACTGTTCCATGAGCCGCAGAACCTCGGACTGCCAACGCCCTTAAAGGTCACCGACTTTTAAAAAATCATTTAATTCAACCACCACCTGACATTAAATTATACTTAAACACAAAACACAAACAAAACTGGAATTCTTTACTAAACAGCTAAACCAACTATTAGTTGCTCGAGTTGATCATTGCATTTTCAAAGCATGCACAATCACCAACTGATTAATCACTATTTATTATAACTCTGAAAATTATTTCTAGACTGGTATCAAGTTCTTCTAAGATTTTTTTTTTGGTGGGGGGAGGGTGGTTGATGAGGACAGATGGAAATACAAAATTGTAACGCAGTCTCATTCTAATATTGTATATATAAAAATAGAGAGTACTTGTGTATACACAGAAAAAAGATTAGAAGAACCTACATACTCTAGGTAGTGGGATTATGAATAAATTTTAAACTACTTTTTAAAAACTATACAAATATACATGTTCATTAAAGAAAATTTGGAAAATGTAGAAAAGCTTGAAAAGAAAAATGAAAATCACTTGTAACCTCAACACTCAACTCCAAGTCATTCTTAACATGTGGGAAATATTTTTGTAGCTATTTTTCTATCTTTACATTTTTCAATTATTTCTAAGAAAAAAAATCCTAAAGTTATCAGAGAGCAAATAAAATGACCAAAAAGTAAAAATTGCTAAATATATTTTTTAAAGAATTAAATGTATATCAATTTTAGTAACAGACATCTAGTTTGCATAATTGAGACTCAGTTTCTTTCTATAAATCAGAGTTGAAAAGTAGAAACAATGAGAAAGGAATAGAATGCTCAAATATTTTCCTTCAAATCTTTTTGACCTGGCATGGCTAGATTAGAAAATTAGAAAACAAAATATATCCTTACCTAGAAGTGCCACCAGGGTTAGTAGAATCACAATGTGCTTCATTCCTTTTCTTTTATAGAAATATAGGAGAATGCAGAAAATTAATATTTCTAAAATCTAGAGATAAAACAAAGAGTAAAGTATAAATTATTCTATATAAAGTCTTCAGAATGTCACACTTCTTTGATTTTGCAAGTTATGAGAGTTGGTGAGGTGACTAGAGTCCCTAAGGACAATTATAAATATTGGAGAACAATACTTAAAACCTCAGCTATCCAGGCCCAGAGAGCTCTAACATCACGTACATGACAATGGTGCCCAGATCTAGATCTCCAGTCCCGACCTCCCTACAACTCCAGTCTCATTTATCCAACTCTCTACTAGACATCTCCACATGCACATTGAATAGCCATATCCCACGAGTATGGGCAACACTTAACTCTTGATTGCCTGCCTTCCCTACTGTTCTTCCTGGTGTCCTCACCCCCTCAGCAGGTGACAACATCACACTGCTCCCTCCGCCTCACTCTTTGCCACCCTCTGACCAAAAACACAATCTGGATAATATTTTATCCCTAGAGCATACATGTGATATACATATAAGGTATTTATGGTGATATGACAAGCATTCATGTGGCCCTAAACTAAGGAATAGAACCGACCAATACCTTTGAAGTCTCTTGTATGCCCCTCCCCACTTGCACTCCTCTCTCCTATGACCTCCCCAGGAACCACTGTACTGAGCTTTGTGGTTACCACTCACTTTCCTGATAGTTTATCACATTTCTATATATGCCTAAATGACACCCTGCTTATTTTTGCATCTGTTTGGACTTTATACAAGGTGGGGGGGGTCATACTGCTTTCACTGGCTTTTTTTCACCGTGCATTATGTTTATGAGATTCATCCAGGATGATACATGTAGTAAAAAATATGTTAGATCCAGTAATTCCTATGGTTTCCTATCACATTAAGAATAGAATCCAGCCCGGCTGGCATGGCTCAGTGGCTGCGCGTTGATCTATGAACCAGGAGGTCACGGTTCAATTCCCAGTCAGGTTATGGGCTTGATCCCCAGTGGGGTTGTGCAGGAGGCAGCCAATTAATGATCCTCTCTCATCATTGATGTTTCTCTCCCCCTTCCTCTCTGAAATCAATAAAAATCTATTTTTAAAAAATAATAGCCCAGCTGGTGTGGCTTAGATATGAATACGTATACACACCACACACACACGTACACATATACGAATACGTATACACACCACACACATACACACTCCTTCCTGGATATAAAAGCCCCAGCCAACTTCTCTCACCTCATCTTGTACAACTTACTCTGGGATGGTCCAACCTGCGCCAGCCACAAATGGCCTTTTTTCCTCCCTAGTGTTGGCAGTCCTCAGATTGCTCCTGCCTTTGGGCCTTTGCATTAACTATGCTGCCTGGAGGGGTCTTTCCCTGATCTTTGCACAATGGCCCCTTCTAGTCACTCAGCTCTCAGCTTAACCGTCACCTCCTCTGAGAGGTCTTCCCTGACCACTTTGATCTAACAGAGCCCCCCAGTCATCCTATCACACCCCCGACTTCAGGTGGCCACTGTGAGCGTTTTATCATCATCTGTCATACTTCCTGTTCATGCACTTAGGTGTTTCCTGTCTGTCTCCCAATGGACATCAGCTCTATGAGGACAGGGTCCTTATCCTTAGGGGCTGTTTGCCACCCTGTCCCCAGTATTTAGGGAATTAATAAGAAAATTACACCTCAAATTTATGATGAAAACATGCCAAAAAACAGACCTAACTCTAATAAACTGAAGGTTCAATAAATACTGACTAAATGTCTAAATTTTCCTAACCCCAAGAAAACTCTACTGTAAGTCTGAGTTCTCAATTTTATTTTTTTATCATTTTTTTTCTTTTTTGAGGTCCTTAAGATAATCTGAAGCAACTCCTTTTTTTCCTCCCCAAAGAGATGATATCCATGGACTGAAATAATAAATATGAATGTTGCCCTGACCGGTTTGGCTCAGTGGATAGAGCGTTGGCCTGCGGACTGAAGGATCCCAGGTTCGATTCCGGTCAAGGGCATGTACCTTGGTTGTGGGCACATCCCTAGTAGGGGGTGTGAAGGGGGCAGCTGATCGATGTTTCTCTCTCATTGATGTTTCTAACTCTCTATCCCTCTCCCTTCCTCTCTGTAAAAAATCAATAAAATATATTTAAAAAAATAAATATGAACGTTTACTTTTCTGACATCAGACAAGTAAAAATACCAACAATAGTTGTGTGTGTTTTTTCTTAAAAATTACTAGAATTAGGCACTTCACTACTTTTAGGACTGCATTTTACTTATGGAGCTCTAAGTCAACAATCTCTCCTTTTCCATTCAAGGTTTCGCCTGTTGGTTTGTTTTCTCCTTTAATCCTCTGTGGGCACGGAAAGCAGCAGGACCAAACCTTCTTCATTTAAAAACCCTTTCATCTACGATGGAAACTTAGGTCATCCCTTAGTCTTCTTTTCCTGGTAAATTAAACCAATTATTTTAACTCTTCCTTATAAGACATATTTGCCAGGCCTTTGATTCAACCAAGCAGTGCTACAAAAAGCGATTGGACAACGGTCTCTTTGCCTTCCCGAAGGCGGCCATCAAAACACTGGGTGTCCCAGCCTGTGTACGACTCCTCAACTGTTCACAGAAATATCGCTCTTGGCTTGCTCTCTGCTCAACCACAGGCTTCCATTTCTCACCTGATACAGGGACCACAGTTCCCCCTGATGGAGAGAAGAAAGCTCTTCCTCACAGCACAGAGCATGTTAGCTAAATGGATGAGCAGGCCGATTATTAACTTTTTGGTGGGGTGGGGGGTGAGGGTAGTTATCAGTTCTAAAAGTCATGTATGACTTTTTGTAAATCCACTTCTGAGGCTTCAGGTAAATAAAACACGAGTTCCCATTATTCATAGAATGACTGCCGTTGCCCTGGGTTCCGTCTTGTGTTACGACGTCATGGCGCTCCCAGGAATAAAATATTTAAACAGCATGAATGAATGTTAATTTTTTTCTAGCAACATTTCCCCTCCTCTGTGAAAATATCAATATTAAAGAAGCTGTAATTCCTGCAGGTTGCTGCGAGCCACAAAGAGGCTGCTTTGCTGCTATCTGTGAGGTCAGAAATAATAACAGCGCGTACTGCATGCTCACCATATGCTTTTCTTGTACTAATTCACGGAGTCCTCACAACCACCTTTGGAGTGGCACTCTTATTATCCCCATTTTACAGGCGGGGAAACCAAGGCGCAGAGGGGTTTTGCTGGCCGGCAAAAGAGCAGTTTTAATTCCTGTAGTTATGATCTTTGCAGGCATGGTTTGCAGAAAAAGCACAGAATCTGCCACATCCAAGGATTAAATATTAATTACTTAGGTGTTTAACAGATTTAAACTAAACTTTAGCTCAAGATCTTAGTATATAATTGATAAGTTCTGGTCTTTAGAGATGCAACATCTAACATTAAATTTCAAACTAAGATAATATAGATCTATTTCCCTTAGAGTCTACTGCCAATGCGTTATTGAAACGTGACTTTCTTAAAGGTTTATTTTATGCTATCTTATAAATATCTGGAATTATATACATTTTTGGTGGCATTTACTTTCAAATATATTTCTATGGGACTATGGATTTCTCCCAGGACTGTGAAATTTCTGCTACAGAAATCCCTCTCTCTACCCAGGATGACTAATAAATTGAGTTGACTTTGGAAAATGGCAAAATGCAATTAATTTCAGATTTTTTTTGTGTGGAAACATAAGGTTTAATAAAAAGTAGCCTTATTCTTTTAAAATGTTTTCTCTGGTGTTAAAACAATATAAGATACATCATCATCAAACAATGCTGTTTATTCCCCCCAAAATAAGTCTTGATGCATCTTTAATCTCCAAAGGATTTAACTTGGGCTATTAATTTTCTGATCATAAACTATGTGAGCCTTTTCTCACTGGAGGAACAATTTGTTTTGCCTATAGAAAAGAATACCATGTGTTGGTAGGATTTCAAGTTTAGACTATCATGAAATACAGAACAAGTCCTTCTAGTTCTTAGATGTGATTGGTGACAGCTGCAGTAGTTAAAGGACTGGGTATGGTGAACAAGTCGGAAGATGCAATGGGGTAGGCAGGCAGGAGGCACAGAGTATGACAGACCAGAGGAAGGCTGACCTGAGTTGGGAAGCCCAGGCCTAAAGGTGCTGGAGGGCAGGGGGAAGGGGAGCCTTCCAATATAAGAGGAGGGAGCGGAGGAGAGAAGATGGCGAGCTCAGTGTTTAAGATGCTACATTTGAAGAACCTCTGGGACATCCAGGCAGGGAAGAGTAATCAGTGGAGAGATGAGAACAGAGATGTGCAGCTCAGAAGAGGCCTGGGGAGAAATGTAGGTCTGGATTTGGAAGTCCTTCTAACGGAGGATGGTGGGGTGGGCAATGAGATCACCCTAGAAAACCCTGGATGAATATTTAGTACGAATAGGTAAGAGTGGTTGGCAGAAGAGGAGGAGGTGACTATCAAGAGCCTGGGATGGAATAGTTGGAGAAACAGGGAAAACAAACTGAGGAAGCAGAGAGGCGAGCAGTTCGAGATGTGATGGGTCATGAGTAAATGCTGCTTAAGGTTCAGGAAAAATTAGGTTGCCCCCCCGCCCCCAAAAATGACAGCAATTGCATTTGGCAACTTGTGGGGAGGGATCCACTAGGATTTTAATAAATGGTGAGTGAGTAGGAGCTGAGAAAACAGAGGGGAATAAATGGTGGTGAGTGGAAGAGAAATAAGAGTTTATTAAAGGGTGTGTAGTATATGGAGATTTTTTTAAAACAGAGAAATCTTCATTGAGTAAGAGAAAGGGGTAGAGTGGATAGAGTGGGAGACTACAAAAAGAAAAGACCTATAAACATTTATGCTCCAGTGGTCAGAATTATATATCAAAGATAGTAAGATATACAGAATTCTTGTCACATAGATGAGGAACTGCCAGACAATAATGTAATACCAGGCAGTTCCTGCTGTGATAGCCCGAGTTAAACTTGGAACAAAAACTTTTACATAAGAGGTGTATAAAGTAGGATCGTACTGTTACCTGTTTTAACGGCAGAGGACTAGAGCAGACAGTTTTTTTGAAGTCGTGTCTAATCCTAAAACTACACGATTCTGTGTGCTTTGATCCTTTTAACTGAATTCACAATTACTTTACCAATCCAGTTCTTGGTTAAATGCTCAACTATCCCAGTTTTGTTCTTACTACCTGTCTTTCCTATAATGTTCTTATTTTCCACCTAAACCGATTCCTGCAAAAAGTTACGTACTAACCACTTCAATCATGTCCTCTCTTTACACCCACTGGGTATGGCCACGGCAGCAAATAAAGTGTCCCAATTCGTGGCTTCCAATTTCTGTACCAGCTCATTCCATTCCTTCTTTTGCACATCTCTCAGCGTTATCCTACTGTGGCCTGCGTCTCCACAGACAGCCTATGGCATTGTTCTCAATGAGAATTTTTTTGAAGAGAATATCTACCTTGAATAAAATTCAAGGAAGAAAAAGGGGTCTTCAGGTACTTCCCTTTGGACTTGGAAGAGAGGTTTCTTTGGGGTTTGTTTGTTTTTACTTTTGAGTTGTCCTAAAATATGATGCTCTGAAATTGGCCAGATTCAATGTTGTGGAAATTGTCCCAGTCACGGGTCACCCTCAAGGATGGGAAACCTGGGAAGCTGGGGACGTCTATTGCTGAGTTAGTGTTTCAAATACTTTCATGTTGGTCAAATATATTTGCATTGTATTAAAAAAGAGAATATCTACCTTGAATAAAATTCAAGGAAGAAAAAGGGGTCTTCAGGTACTTCCCTTTGGACTTGGAAGAGAAGTTTCTTTGGGGTTTGTTTGTTTGTTTTTACTTTTGAGTTGTCCTAAAATATGATGCTCTGAAATTGGCCAGATTCAATGTTGTGGAAATTGTCCCAGTCACGGGTCACCCTCAAGGATGGGAAACCTGGGAAGCTGGGGACGTCTATTGCTGAGTTAGTGTTTCAAATACTTTCATGTTGGTCAAATATATTTGCATTGATATATGTTAATGAGATATTAATGCTGAGAAGAGAAGATTGTGTTAGTTCGCTAACATCTGCATGTACCAGCGGTCTAGATAACATTGCTCTGCCACAGTCATTAGAATGCTTACCACATAGATCAGGAACTGCCAGCCAACAAAGTAATACTGTACTGTTCTCGCAGAGATAGCCTGGGATATGTTTGGAGCAAAGTTCACCAACAAATACGATCCTGCAAATGCCAATGTCATACCTTTAAGTAAAACAGAAAAGACAAAACAAGTTGAAAAGAGACATTTTAATCTTTTTGTTGATGTAAACATTACCTATAGACTGAGCATTACTTGTAAAAGTGCTGACAGTCCTGCCCTATTAAAATATAATTCATCAACCATCCCCTAGACAGCGTCACACATTCACCTGATAGCACTACCTTTAAAGAGGGCTAAGGGCCCTGGCCGGTGTTGCTAACTGGTTAGAGCACTGGCCCGCGCATCCAAGGGTCACGGGCGGGTTCATTCCTGGTCAAGGGCACATACCTGGGTTGCAGGTTCGTTCCCTCACCCCAGTGAGGGTGTGTGCGGGAGGCAACTAATATGTTTCTCTCACATCAATGTTTCTCTCTCTCTTCTCCTCTCTCCCTCCACACTCTCTAAAAATCAATGGAAAAAATATCCTCAAGTGAGGATTAACAAACAAACAAACAAAGAAAGGGATAAGGGCCAGGGAATGGATGGGGCAGGACATAACTTCTGACTTTTCTCTGTTGTTCCAGATAGATCCTGGCCTAAGCAGAGAAGTGTTCTGCTAAGATGGGAAGATCAGAACATGTGTAATTGGAGACAAGAAAACCCAACTAAGCTGGCTGTTTGGGTTCTTATGGGCCAGTCAGTGCAAGATAGACCTGGATTTAGGTCTCGATGGCAGAGCCCAAGAGGGTGGGGAGTCCATCACCTGACCATTTATTCTGCACTTACTCATCTTGGGAGCCTTACACACACACACACACACACACACACACACACACACACACGTGATTTTACACTTAGAAACTCTGGTAAATGAGCATCTTAATCGTTGCCACTTTTTTGGCGTCCCTTTAGCAGAAATGAAGGTGAACATTGGCTTTGCTCTACGATATTTATAGCCCAATTTAGTATCTAGAATTCCAGGCATAGCCGAGTAAAATATCACATAATAAACCTATGGAAGGAATGTGTTACTGTCATCACTTTAACATTACTTAAAATAATGGAGGAAGGGCATGTGTGGGGGGAGTGGCCATGGAGGGGTAAAGGAAGGACACTTCCAAATAACACTGAAAGCTACTTATTTGTGAATAATTAGCAGCCCGAGAAAAAGTGACATAGGTAGCATTTTTCAGGTAGCACCCTTGAAAACATAATTCAACTTGCTCCATCACTGAGGTCGGCCTTGTTCTGTACATAATTGACAACTAACGTTGACTCCAACCTGAAACAATTTGATTTGTTGATAAAATCTCACACTTTGAAGACACCAATTTCCTATTCTTCGTAGCCAAATGATTTATGACTTTGAACTCTAGTTTCCGAGAACAAAGAGCATTTGATTTTTCACACAGGCTAAATAATAGCTATTCAGTGTACTTTAGAAGCTATAAAATAAGTTTCATCGAAGTAACAATGTATTCTGTAATGCTCTGTGAAGACAGAGATCATATACACAATTTTAAAAGCTATTTCTAAAGAGATTTTAAAAATAAAAAAATATACATTATTAAGCATTGTAATAAAAGGAAAATAATAAACACCATCTATAAGAACTTGGGCAAAATTATTGGTCAGCCTTGTCCTTTCTTTAGGAATAAAAAATTCTCTTATAATTATTCAATATTAGGTTTTTAGGAAGAAGGGACTAATAAAAACAGTTTTGTAAACTTGGTATAGTAAAATAGAATAAAAGCCTTGAATGCAATTTAGAAGTCTCAGAGACTTCCAACTTTCTCTTGTGAAATCCAAATTTCTTGTTTATATCGAGTTCCTCCGCCAGTTATTTCTTTATCTCATTTAACTGTATCTAGTGACCTTTACATTTCTTTCTAAAAATTTACTTTTGAATGGGTAACATATGTATATGGCAGAAAATTCAAAAGCACACAAGGGTGATGCGGGAAGAGTTAAATCTCTCTTCTACCCTGATGGCCTCCTATTTCCAAGTTCTTGAGGTTTCTTTTTCTGAGATACTTTATGCACGTGTATATGTTGGTGTGTATGACTTTTGGATTTTTTACACAGACAATATTATACATGCTCTTCTGTATATGTTCTATTTCTAATCAACCGAACATCTTGGAGAACGTTTCAGTATAGGTATGGCAGCCTCATCCTCTTCAAGTCTGCAGAGTATCCCATTATACAGAGGTTGTGCTACTTATTTAACTTTCCAATATGGTCCCCATGTCACGTATGTTAGAAAATTCAAAAGCACACAAGGGTGATGCGTGAAGAGTTAAATCTCTCTTCTACCCTGATGGGCTCCTAGTTCCAAGTTCTTGAGGTTTCCTTTTCTGAGATACTTTATGCACGTGTATATGCTGGTGTGTATGACTTTTGGATTTAAAAAAAAATATGTTTTATTGATTTTTTACAGAGAGGAAGGGAGAGGGATAGAGAGTTAGAAACATCGATGAGAGAGAAACATCGATCAGCTGCCTCCTGCACACCCCTTACTGGGCATGTGCCCGCAACTAAGGTACATGCCCTTGACCAGAATCGAACCTGGGACCCTTGAGTCCTCAGGCCGACACTCTATCCACTGAGCTAAACCGGTTAGGGCGACTTTTGGATGTTTTACACAGACAATATTATACACGCTCTTCTGTGCTTTATTTCTAATCAACAGAACATCTTGGAGAACGTTTCAGTATAAGTATGGCAGCCTCATCCTCTTCAAGTCTGCAGAGTTATACGGAGGTTGCGCTACTTATTTAACTTTCCAATATGGTCCCCATGTCACATCCTGACACAACCCCTTTCCCCCACATCACATCTGCTTCCACATTTGTATACTGTTCCCATTCATACCAATGTAGATCTTCACTGCATTTCAAAACTCCTTAAAAACAAATAAAATGACTAATGATTCCACAATTATACTTTCAAAGTACTTTTTCATATGCATAATTTCATCTGAGCATCACCTCACTGTGAGTCTGGTAAGTAACTTTATGAAAGCTCAGTAGGTCATATCATTCTTTTTTTTTTATTGTCTAAAGTTTTACATAAGTCTCCTTTTTTCCCAGTTGACTCCCCTCCCCCAACCCCCCAGCTCATACCATTCTTAAAATTTTAATCTCAGCTACCTTGGGCACTTACACAGGCAGTCGGGATAGCTACTGCCTGTTATATGCTTGTATATCTGGTGTTATTCTATGTGATTAACTATCTCCTTCATAAATCATGTGCCTTTTGGATGTTTTACACAGACAATATTATACACGCTCTTCTGTGCTTTATTTCTAATCAACAGAACATCTTGGAGAACGTTTCAGTATAAGTATGGCAGCCTCATCCTCTTCAAGTCTGCAGAGTTATACGGAGGTTGCGCTACTTATTTAACTTTCCAATATGGTCCCCATGTCACATCCTGACACAACCCCTTTCCCCCACATCACATCTGCTTCCACATTTGTATACTGTTCCCATTCATACCAATGTAGATCTTCACTGCATTTCAAAACTCCTTAAAAACAAATAAAATGACTAATGATTCCACAATTATACTTTCAAAGTACTTTTTCATATGCATAATTTCATCTGAGCATCACCTCACTGTGAGTCTGGTAAGTAACTTTATGAAAGCTCAGTAGGTCATATCATTCTTTTTTTTTATTGTCTAAAGTTTTACATAAGTCTCCTTTTTCCCCAGCTGACTCCCTCCCTCCCCCACCCACAGCTCATACCATTCTTAATAATTTTAATCTCAGCTACCCCAGGCACTTACAAAGGCAGTCAGGATAGCTGCTACCTGTCATATGCTTGTATATCTGGTGTTATTCTTTTTCTATGTGATTAACTATCTCCTTCATAAATCATGTGCACATTTTTCAAAAGTGTTGAAGATCGTCATTAGCAATTCCTTAAATGCATTTCCTTAAATTTTATTTATATCCCAGTTTTTCTCAGGTTAGGAACCGGATCGTGGAAGTCTACTCTCAGCTGAAACTGCTCCCACAGAACGGAAAGGTCACTGCTACTTGCTAGCTGGAAGTTATTTATCCCCCTGTGCCTCGGTCTTCTCATCTCCAGGTCCACATCAAATGTCACACCTGCTCGATTCCAGGAATCTGGCTCTGCAAGAGGCCCGTGTGGGGAACTGAATACGATGTTTGAAAAGCTCACCTGCAGGCCTGATGTGACCAAGGATCCTGGGACAGTGACTCAGGATGCTGACTGTCAGGAGTCACAGGCCATCTGAGTTAAGCTTAAAAATTAATTCAAAATTATGTCTCTACTGCTATAGTCCAGGGATCCAAAGGAAATGAACTGACAGATCACAGAGGAGAAACACTAGCAGCCCTATATTTGCTGCCCACTGCTATCCTCAGGGAGCTGGTGTGCAGCACCAAGATCTGGGTATTGGTGGGGATGGAACTCGGAGCAGCTGTGGGCAAGCTGCAGGTGGGAGTCAACGACTGGACATGACCTCGATACAGGGACGTGGCCCACCCGCCACCCTCATGCTTAGACCTGCAGCAAATCCATTTTCCCATCAAATACAGCTCAAGTCACATAAGAGTCTACAATGACCTGGTGGGAATTTCATATTTAACGATACAACATACAAGTATTGATAAAATTTCTTCCTATAAACTGGCCATATGTGCAAAACAAGTAAACAAGCTCATCCCTGCTGTTTGTAGACCAGGTGTACTGGGGGAAGGGGGGCAGCATATGCCAAGGGAGGGCAATCTTTTTCCTTTTTTAATCCTCACCCAAGGATATTTTTCCATTGACCTGTTAGAGAGAGTGGCAGAGAGAGGGAAAGACAGAAAGAAACATCCATGTGAGAGAAACACATTGATTGGTTGCCTCCTGCACGTGCCCTGACCAGGGCCAGGGCCGGAGAGGAGCCTGCAACCAAGGTACGTGCCCTTGACTGGAATTGAACCCAGGATTCTTTGGTTCACAGGCCAATGCTCTATCCACTGAGCAAAACCAGCTAGTGTGGCAATAATATTTTAAAGTGATGTTCTTAGCACTGTTGATTTCA